GATGGTTACAGTCATCGTGCCAGGGGTTTGAGCAGGCAGTGCAGAGATTGGTCCATGTTTGAAAAGATCACCCCTGGCCCAGAGGAAGCAAGGAGGACAGGGAGGAGATCGCGGCAGAAGTCTAGGTCAAAGACACAGAGGTTTGTTGTTGGGTGGGGCCCGGGAGGTGAGAGAAACAGCCGGAGTAGAGACACACAACAGGAAGCCGGGGCAGGACTCGGCCATCGATTGCGGATATCAGGAAAGTGAGGGAGACGATTCCCAGATTCATGTCTACAGCCTGGGAGGATGGAGGGTTCCAATGGAGAGATGTCTGGTTGGATTCTGGGAGACACGTCTGTGGAAGTTCAGGGAGGTGGTTCAGAGAAGCCTGGAGGGTGGACGGAACTCTGAGCATTATGGGTGTGGGTGGTCTTTCGGCCTTGGGTGTCCCAAGGAGAGAGAATAGAGTGAGAAGGGTAAAGCAGGGTTGGCCGAGATGGGGCCGGGGAGAACTCTGGCTGGGGGAGAAGTAAGAGCAGGTGGAAGAGACTGAAAGGCGTGGGGAGTGGGACAGGAGAAGGCCAAGGCCAGGTGACATCCTGGAACTCAGAGAAGACCACCCAGGCAAGGTGGGCGCACCTGGGCCGGGTGCTGCTGGGGTCACGGAAGCTAGACTCTGAGCGTTAGTGTTGGAGTCATGGAGGATTCAGCCCTTCACGGGAGAGGCCGGGCCAGGTGAGGCGTGAGAAAAAACTGAGGAACTACAAGGGAAGAAGCCTGGCACTGAAGGGGAAGACAGAGGAGTGGCTGGCGGGGATGTGGGGGTTTTAAAGACAAGAAATAGTGGAACATGCCTGGGTGCTGGAGGGATGACTGCTTAGCGAGGAAGGAGTTGGTGATGCAGGGTAGAGGACTGATTGGTGGAGTGAGGTCCCGGAGGAGGGAGAAGGAGATGGGACCAGCAGAGGCCTGGCTTCAGGTCACGGGAAGCCAGTGTGCTGCCGAAGGATAGCAGGTTCATGTCGAAGGTGAGGGATTCCACCTGAAGGCTCTGGTTTTCTCCATGAAGTAGGAGGCGAGGTCATCAGCTGAGAGAGGCAGGATTGGGGGCATGGAGGGATGTGGCATCTGTGTGTCTTCCACTCTCTTGTCTAGATCCCCCCACACCCACTCCCCTTGACAAGGGGAGGTAAGGGTGGCGTATCCACTGCAGAGCATGCGAGAAGCCGACTAGAGAAAACTTGGCATTGAGAGCTCTGGTGAGGCTGGAGACAGTGGTTTTATGGCCTCTAACGTGTGAAGGTGTGAGAGTTCCCCCATCAGCGCTTAGCTTCTTGGGTGCCGGTGAGGAGAAAGTGGGTGATTGGGCTCTCCCAGGTGGGTGAGAAGAAAGAGGAGAGGAATAAGGGGTTTTAGGTTATTTATGATGATGACTCACTGAATATAAGCCTGTTAAGGAAGATGAGGAAGGGTGGGTGCCAATGAGATTGGAGAACAGAGCTGGGAGGCCAGGCCAGGAGGGACTGGGGGAAGAATGGGAATTAGGAATGAGTGAAATTTCAAGTGGTGACAAAGTTGGGGTGTGGCCATGGGAGTGGGTGGCTGAGGCGGACTGGAAAAGAAACCATTGGAAATGAGGAGGTCAAGGATATTACTCAATGGGCTGTCTACTGAATTTATTTAACGAATATTTATTAAGCACCTGCTATGTGCCAGGCACTGTTCTAGGCATTGGGGATACAGCAGTGAGCATGGCAAAGACCCCGAACTCATGGAGCTTACAGTCTAGTGGGGTGAAACAGACCATGAGCAGGTAAACACACACATAAATAATTTTAGAGAGTGGTAGGCATTATGGAAGAATACACACAGTATAGTGGGATAGAAGCTGGCCGCAGGATCTGGGCAGACCTCTGTGAGATGATATTTGAACTGAGATTTGAGAGATCAGGGAATGTGGGGAAGATCATTCTCGACAGGGGAGCAACGAGTGCAAAGGCCTTAAGGCAGGAACTAGTTGTGTCTGAGGGACAGGAAGGCCAATGAAGCCAGAGCAGAGTTCACGAGGGCAAGAATGGTGGTGGTGAGGTGAGAAGGCGGGCAGAATCCAGAGGACACGGGATCTTCTAGCCACAGTAAGGAGGATGAATTTATTCTAATCATAATGGGGGCAAAGGTTTGATTGTGGAAGTGATGTGACCCAAGCCACACTCTTAAACGATGCCTCTCGCTGCTGTGAGGGCAGGGGGCGAAGGCAGAAGCAGGGAGACGACCTAGAGACGTGCCTTAGTCTCTGTGGGAGGAGATGGCCTGGACTAGGATGGTGGTAGTGGAAGTGGTGAGCAGTGGCCAGGGCTGAGTGGAGACCGCTTGCAGGCACGGATGTGGGTGGAGGTGGGAATTGAGTATCCAGGAAGGCACGAAGGCTCCTGGCCTACCACTGAGTGGAGGGTGGTGTCATGAACTGAGATGGGGATGCAGTGGGTTTGGGCAGGGATGGGGAACCTGTCCTTCAAGTGAGGAGTCTGGTAACCATGGGACAGCGGAGTTCGGAGGGAGACTGGACTAAAGACCCTGGTCTGGGGTTCCTCAGCATAGGCAGTGTTCAGAGCCTTGGGTTTGGATGCGGCCATGTGGGGACTGAGTGAGCACAGCTGGAGGAGCTCTGGAGTCCTGGGCTGAGCCCTCCACCTTCCGAAGTTGGGTCCACGAAGAGAAGCCACCGGAGGTCAGGAATGCTGCATGTGCTGTCCCTGCTGGGTACCCTTTGCCCGTCTCCTACCTGCCTTTCCCCACAGGTACGTGTACGACCACATCGGCGGGGAGCACTCTGAGGTGATCCCCGAGCTGGCGGCCTCCGTGGCCACATTTGCCGTCACCACCCTGTGGCTTGGGCCTTGTGACATTGTCTACCTGTGGTCACTCCTAAACTGCTTTGGCCTCAACTTTGAGCTCTGGGTGCAGAAGCTGGCAGAGAGGGAGCCCTTGGCACACATTGAGGTGAGCAGGGAGGGGCTGGCTGGGGACTGCTGCTCTCTGAAGGCTCCCAGCCACACTTGGTCCCCAGTCCAGAACTTTCTCATCACCACCCTCCTGGTTGTCAGGACAATGGCTCACCTGGGGGGTATCTGGCCCTCCCTGCCTTCTGTGTGGTGTGGGACACCCAGGGCTGGCTATGTTGGTCAGGCCCTCATCTTTAACAATGAGAGAGGGCTGGCCTGGGACTCTCAGACCCGGGCATATCCCAGGGCCTCCGTGACCATGTGGGAAGGCCTCTGACCGACCATGACCTCTTCCCTCTGGGCCTCTTGCCACACTGACAATGCTTTCCTGCACCGCGCAGGCCTCTCTGTCGGAGCAGATGTCTCGCAGGGTCCGGGGCATCTTTGGGGCCATGAACTTCTGGGCTATCATCATGTACAACCTTGTAAGCCTGAACAGCCTGGAGTTCACAGAGCTGGTCGCCCGGCGCCTGCTACTCTCAGGTGAGGGACAGGAGGGGGGATACAGAACGTGACCTTCTGCAATGCCCCCACCCCCCTCACCACAATGCCCCAGGGCGGGTCGAGTGGGAGGGGCATGACTGAGAAGAGTCACCCAGGACCTCTTCCCCCCACAGGGTTTCCCCAGACCACACTGGCCGTCCTGTTTGTCACCTACTGTGGTGTTCAGCTGGTGAAGGAGCGAGAGCGAACCCTGGCGCTAGAGGAGGAGCAGAATCAGGACAAGTTGAAGCCGGAGTAGGCGGGAGGGGGGCGGGACGGCTCGGCTCAGCCATTCCTGGGCCCAGGCCAGGCCAGGCCAGATGAGGCCTGACCAAGAGAATAAAAGACTTTTCTATCACAGTTTGGCTGGCCCCTCCCTTCCCCGTCCCCCGGCAGTCCCCTGGCTCCTTGTCTATGCAAGGTGAGGAGCAGGGAGTTCTGGGCCTCGGGGGGGGAGGGTCAAGGTCTTGGCACACGCAATGTGGAGGACGCACCCACATGGAGGGCAGAGACCACCAACCCGGGTAACCCCAAATCTGAGCACTAAAGCCCCAAACCTTCCAACTAGCTGGTCACTAACTCTTGGAGCCCCGGCTTCCGGACCCTGAGCTGCCCGCTCAGAAGGCACTTTATTCTTCTCACAGAAGGAGCCCTATCTGTGCTGCAGGGAGCACTCGGTGGGGACCGTCCCCCTCTGACAGCCAGGACTGGGGCTTGTGGGGAATTTGCAGGCACAGAGCTGGGCTGGGACAGGGCCGGGATGCAGGTGGGGATGATGTCCCTGTGGTTCTGGCTCAAGAACGGGGGGATATGGTGGAGACCGGAGACCCCAGAGAGGCCTTAAATTCCTCGCCCCTGCCCCAAGGCTAGGACTGGGCAGCTACTACCTTCCCCGCTGAAGCAGCCACTCGGCCATTACAACAGGTCCAGGTGGGCTCTGGCCTCTCCCAGCCTCCTCCCTGGAGCCCCCAGGAGGCCCGGCCTGTGTGGGCCACGGGGTGGGACGGTGCTGAGTTCAGGCCCTCCGGGCTGGTCACATCTTGGTCAGGCGCAGCACGTTGAGTCGCACGGGTAGGAAGGTGGCGCCGGTGGCATAGGCAAGCTCCCGCAGAACACCTTCCCACTTCTTCTCCTCCTCGTTATATCTGCAGGCGGGCAGAGACAAGGAGCTTGGTCAGCTGAGTTCAGAGGGGGACCCAGCAGGAAGGGGTGGCTGGGTGCCCTAGGCCCACCCCTGAGGAGTCCCCATCCCACCCTACCCCAGCCCTGGAGAATGGTCCACTCCTAGAGGTTTCCCATGTTCTGGGAAAGGTTCCCACAAGACTCACCCCCAGAGAACATCCACCCCACATTCCAGGAAGGGCACCTTCCTCCAAGGAGGTCTACATCTTCCCTTGAGATGTAGACTTTCCCTCCTCTGCCCTCCAAGTCCCCCCAACTCCCACTCTCCCAGCAGCAACGCCCCCTGCAGGCTGCCGGCAGCAGTGGGAGAACTAAAGGATCAGAAGGTGCCCCAGGTGGCCCAGACCTCTCCCCTCCAACCCCAGGAAGGACCAGCCATGGAAAGCAATGGCTCTGCGAAACTGGGGTCTGGCAAATCTCAATCCTGGCCCCAGCTCTCCCCCCAGAGCCTCCAGGAGGGAGGGGAGAGGAAAGGGCCCCTGTTTCCGTGGGTCTGTGCCCTAAACTTGGGGTCAGCTCCCAGCTGTGACACTGTTGGGGCCCCACAGTGGGGCATGGTGTCATGTGTGCAAACCCAGACTTTCCCAGCTGTGACGGGCGGGCACGGCCATGCACACTCAGCCCCACACTGGGCACCTTATGTGCCGCGCCAGCTCAGCCAGGTTCGGTGAGCCCGAGTGGGGGCGGTGAAGGATGGAGAAAAGACAGACAAGAGAAGAAAGCTGGGTCTCGGTGGGATGCCGCCCTCTCTGATGGAGAGACAGCGCCACGGACTACAAGCCGAGTCTTTATTTTATAGCAGATTCCACGAGGCAAAGTAAGGGCGTGGTCAAGATGTTTACAACAGTCTCGTGCTTTTCGATCCTACTCAACTACATGCACCTGAACTCTATCAAGCCCACATCACTCAGGCACGTGGGGCCACGTGTTCGGACCATAGGTTCAAGCTCACAACTACAGCTGTTGGCTATAATTGTGCTGGGAGGGCTCTGCCCTCCAAGCTGGGACTTGCACGTGGCCACGAGAGGACTGTGCCCTCTCATTAGTCCAAGGCTTGAACCTGTCCAAACACTGTAGCCCAGTGGTTCTGAACCTTCTGGCCCTTTAAATACAGTTCCTCATGTTGTGACCCAACCATAAAATTATTTTCGTTGCTACTTCATAACTGTAATGTTGCTACTGTTGTGAATCGTCATGTAAATATCTGATATGCAGGATGGTCTTAGGCGACCCCTGTGAAAGGGTCGTTCGACCGCCAAAGGGGTCGAGACCCACAGGTTGTCCACACTCAACCAAACTGGAGAGAACCGGGGCTGAACGGGGTCTACTGTCCCTTCCCCCCAGGGCTCTCAGAAGAGGGATCAGCTCTGCCCCCAAAGAGCCTGCCAGGTGCCGAGGTGCCCGGCCCCGAGGCTGTGAGCCATCAGCCTTGCTCATGATGCCCCTCACCTCCCGGGGCCAGGCTCACCTCCAGATGTCGTTGAGCTCTGTGGGGACCAGCTCCCCGGACTCAGTCTCCAGAGTGGCAAAGCCACCGATGGCATAGAGGGTGCCCGCCAGGCTGACCAGGCTGAGCGAGCTGCGCTCCTGCGGGAAGGCCTCAAAGGGCGCCCACCTGGTTGGGGGGGGAGGGAGAGGGAGGAGGTGCATCACTGGGAGGCCTCAGCAAACCGAGTGACTGTCCCACCCCAGCACCCACAGCCTCAGTCGCACCTCTGAAATCTGAACCCCAGGGACCCAGGCTCTCAACACAACGTCCTGTTCTAGACCTTCTCAAGAATGCCCACCTGTGCCCCTGCCCAGGCCTCAGAGTGTCCCAACCCTGTTCCCCTTCCCCTTCCCTCTGGTCTTCACTTCCTTTCCCATTCAATTACCCTCAACACTTCCCTTCACTGTCCCTTTGACATTCTACCCAACCTGCCCCCCAAAACCCACTATGGACCTCCCCTGTGTCCCTCCTTCATTCCCACTTGCTAGCTCAGTGGCCATTAAGCCCCCGACCCCTTGGACTCCTGCCCTGACCCCTCCTCCCACAGTCCAATTACTCTCAGGGAGTCTTCATCCCCACCCTCCAAAACTGCTCGAAGGTCCCCGACTACCCAGCGCTTGGGAATCCAGGCGCAGCGCACGCACTGCCGGTGTGACTTGCTTCACACCTACATCAGCTGTCATATAGCATCTTAGTAAAACACAGATGTGAGCTCACAGCCCCTCAGAGGCATTTCATCGCCTTTGGGAGAAAGTTCCTCAGCCCTGCTGGCCGCCTCTGCAGCCGCAGGACCCCCCTCACCACACTCCATCCAACCTGAGCAATTCCTCCACGTGGGCCAGCCCTTTTCTCCTAACTGCCTTGGCTCCAACTGTCCTTAGCCTGGGCATCCTTCTCCCACCACAGCTGTTGTCTCCCTGACCTCCCAGGGCAGGGTAGCTTGGTCACCACTGCATCCCTCGGACCAGGCCAGTGCCTGGTGTAAGTCTCTGAATGAGGAACCTGGCATCTCCTACCCCAGTCCTGGGAGCTCTCTCCTGCCGACCAGGCTGGCCCTAACCCTCGCCCCACCTTGTGGGGGAAGCCCACCTCACTACTGATCAGGGGAGAGGGACTACTTCTGTGCTGATGTCTAAGCTCAACTGTGAAAACCCAATTCCGAGCTATGCTGCTCTCCGGGGCTGACTCAGAGAGGACTGGCCTAGGCCCAAAGCCACACAGCCAGGGGGTTCCAGGGAGGCCCTCGGCCCCTGGTTGCCCTGCCTGGGGAAGGGAGGAAGAAAGGAGGCAAGCGGCGTACTTGTTGTCTGTGATGCTGTACACCTCCACGGAACTGGTCAGCCCCGTGTCCGTGACACCGGCGGCCACAAAAATGCGGCCATCGTGCACGGTGGCCCCGAAGAGTGACCGGGCCGTCTGCATGGGAGCCAGCTCCTTCCACTCGAACTTCTTGGGGTCATAGACGCACATCTTGTTCAGGCACTTCCTGTGGGGTGGAGGCAGTCAGAGAGAGCCAGGCAGCGGGAGCAGGGCACCTCCCGCCTTGGCCCAGTCCCTCCCCAGGCAGCCAGGACACCTGCCACCCTCTGCTGCACCCACTGCGGGCCTGAGCCTCACCGGTCGCTGCCTTTGCCGCCAATGACGTAGACAAGGTCCATATGGGAGAGCACCGCGTGGCCGTACACTGCATAGGGCAGCGGGTCCGACTCACCCCATTTGAATGACCTGAGGGGAGGGGAGACAGTAAACACACTGGGTCCCTGTCTCTGCACCCACCCACCCACCCA